TGTCCCCTTCTGCCTTCTAGCCCTTGTCCCTGGACTGCTGTGCCTCATTAGTCCCATTTTGTTTTATGGGGCTGTCCAATCCCCAGCTGAACAGTGAAGCTCGGAACTGACTTCACTGAGCTAAAAGGGTGTCTGGGGGCCATACTCTTGGTGTTTCTCCAGTCTCCTTTAGGCCAGTAAATCTGGTCTTTGTTTTGTGTGTTAGGATTTTGTTCTACATCCTTCTCCAGCTCTGTCCAGAATCCTCTGTTGTGATCCCGGTCAGAGCCGTCAGTGGTGGCAGCCGAGCACCATGTAGCTGTACTGGACTCAGTCTGGTGGAGGCCTTGGTAGCTGTGGTCCATTAGTAATATAGGGAGTTTTTTAAGATTTGGTTTACATGGGTGGTGACAGTATGTGGATATTGATTGTAGTGTTCTCCATTTTTTTTTTGTTTGAAAATTGTATAAATTAAAAAATGTGTGCATTAGTACACATAATAGATGTGTTTCCAGAAAAGTTGCAGTACCTTTTTCATTGATTTTCCTTGTAGTTTTAGTAACAGTCTTCTTCTATCTCTTCTACTTTGGGCTGATAAGAGAGAAAGCATTAACTATAAACACTGCAGGTAATAGAACAGAGGCAAACCAGATACTATGGAGGTGGGGACGTGGTCGTGGGGTACGATGGCTTCAAGTTAGTTAACTCTGTGCTGAACTCCCCTAAAGATAGAAATGTTTTTTATTTTACATAAATTCTAACCCAACTAAAATGAATATAAAAGAGCTCTGAACTTAAGCTACTAGTTAATTTAGTCACATTCACTGTTCAGGAACAGAAGCCTCAATTTATGGAACTTGAAGGGTCTTACACTACTGTCTGCTGGAGTTTGTATATGTGGCCATTTGGTGCGATGTGGCCAAATCTGAGGAAATTGGCTATCTCCTGAATAAGTACGCTATTAGATTGAGAGAAAAATAGCATAAGCATAGTGTCCTAATTTATGATAGTGATTATATATTAATATACGTCTCTGACAACTAACAGTTGCTGAAACTAGCCTACATGTTAAGCAGCAATTAATAGTTCATTAGAAATGCGTATGCCACTGTATTTTAACAAACTGATAGGTATTATTGGGTGGTGAAGATCTGTAGAAAGAAACCATTACATTTAGATGATGAAAATTGAAAAAAGAAATAAGAATTTTCAAACTTGTAGCAAATATTTGTTGAAGGACTGCTGTGTCCAAGTCACTTCTAGATATTTGCTTGGCTTCTTCTCTCACTTCATTTGGGTTTCTGATAGTTACCACTTCCTCAGAGAGACCTCAGAGCAACCCTCTCCTTATACCCACCCCACAATTTGTACACTCATATCATGATTATTTCTTCCTAGTACTTATCACTGCCTAACGTTATGATAGAGATCTAACTTCAGATTAAATTATAGCCTTCCTTCCTCCTTAGAATGTCAGGTGCATAAATGTAAGGACTCTTGTTTTATTCATAAAAGTATCCCCAGCACCTGTTGTAGTTTTTGTTACACTGTTTGCTCACTAAATTGTTGAATTATTAAATGAATAAATTGTTGAGGTATGCACTAAAAATTTCAATAAGAGTTATCTATCAGATAATCACATGTTAAAAATGTAAGTATTTTTCTTTTCAGTATTTTTTAGAGAGGCTTTTGAGTAGAACATAGCAATACTTCAGCAGTTGATTTATGTCTTTGTTAAAATCAGGGGAAACGTGCATGTCTGGGCTTGCCCTTTTAATTCTTTTAAAATAAATAATTCAACTAAAATTTCTGGACACCTTTCAGAGATTTCTATTGTAATCTTAATTGTTTTTTAATACTGCATAGTATCTAAATGTTATGCACATTGGTTTCAGTCCTCTTCTGGTGAGATTTTTGTTACTGCCCACTGCCCACCTCTTTCTCCCCACCAGTATCAGAACAGCTGTGGACCCTTTTCAGAAGAGAGTAGACACAGAAGGATTTGATTGTAACCCAGAGTCAAGCTCTGCAATTCCCAGTAAGCAACTATTTCAAAGCAGAGAGGTGTTCTGACATTTATATGGCTCACCTTGGTCATAAATGATGGGTAATAGTGATATCCAGTGACAATTCTGTTATTTCATTGAGATAAGATATACTTTAATAGCAATATTAGAACAGCAAGTAACTGATTTCTTTGGAGAAAAGTCTACAAGGATCTTGTAACTTCCTTAATAAACATAGCTTATTAATTTCATCATTTTTTTTTCAAGAGAGCAAAACATTCATTAATTCTTTGATAAGACTCAGGGAGTCCCTTTTAACACCTTTTGAGCCGTCTCAAACATAGAAGAATTGTTAGTATTTTAAGCTGAAGTTACTTTATTCTTATATCAGCTTAAGTGTTTTATGAAATCTTTAATTTTATATGTAACTATGGGTCAATTTTATCTTTAGTCATCTTCAGTTTTATTTTAGAAATTAATGTGAAAATAGAATTTTTTTAAAAAGCAGAAAATTGGATTTTAATTAGATTTACTGGGGAAGTTATTCCACTGCTCAAGGGATACACCAGCTATAGAATTTGTTTCAGAATTGTTTATTGTAAATATATTAGTTACCTATTGCTGTGTACCAAATAACTCTAAAACTTAGCAGTTTAGAACTACAGATATTTATTATCTCACACAGCTTGTTGGGGTGGGGGGATACTTAGCTGGTTGGTAGTCTCTCGTGAAGTTGCAGTCAAGTCATTAGTCAGGGATGCAGTCACCTGAAGGTTTGACTTGGGAAGGATCTGATTCTCAATTCACTCACGGGTTGTTGGCTGGAGTCCGCAGATCCTCACCATATGTGTCTTCCTATAGGCTGCCTGAGTATCCTCACAAAGTGCAGCTGGCCTCCCCCAGAGCAGGTGTTCAGGGAGATAGAGAGTCCAGGATCACAGCTGCAGTCTTTTATAACTTAATCTCAGGAGTGACATACTACTATTTTGTCAACATCCTATTGGTTACCCAGACCAACGTTGGTAGGCTGTGAAAGGGGACCGTCCAAGGTTGTGGATACCAGGAAGTGGGCATCTTTGGAGGCCGTGTTGGAAGCTGGCTGTGCAATTAAGAAAACCACATAAAACTAAATATTTACTTTAAGCTCCATATCAGGAGACAGAACCTTGCCAAATACTCCAGAATTCCTCTTTGTTCTTCCTCCTGGTCATGGTCTTCTACCTACCCCCATAAATAATCAATATCTGGATTTTAAGTTGTTCAAAGTGACAAAGTAAATCTAGTCCCTATTACTTCATTATGGCTGGGAAAAGAAGTCCATCCAGTTAATTTTAATTCTTCCTAATTTCTCATTTACTACAGGCACATTAGTGTCATCTCCTTACTGACCTCATGTATATTGAGAAAAGAAAAAAAAAAACTAAACCTAAAGGCAGTGTTAACGATTGGTTCTTTCAGGACTGTCTGCAGTGGAGGAGTCAAAGAAAACTGATCTTGGAGAGAAACCAAGAACAACATTGATCATCTGTCCACTTTCTGTGTTAAGCAACTGGATTGTAAGTCTTTTAAAGCCCTTTAAAAATGTGATATAATTTATATTTGTTTTAATACAATAGGAAGTATTCTGTTAAAGATTCACTCATAGAAATATGATCGCTCAGCATTTTATATTTAAATGTAAATAATTAAGTGAATTGGGGTACTAGTTGCTGAATTGAGGTCATTTTTCTTTGAAAATTTATAGTAGAGAAAGTAAAAAGTATTATTAACTGATATTATAAGATTTGTTTTCTATTTCTGCCTCTGCCATTTCTGTCCCCCAAAGTGGGAAAGGTGTAAACTTTTTCAGACTCCACTATGTGTATAAACTGAATTGTTGGGTGCTCTTTTCTAAGAACTCCATTAACAATAGCTATTTTTAATAATAATATGTAATATTTAGTGAGCTTTTTTTTTTTCTCTGAGCTCTTTTCATAGATTTTCTCAGTTAATCCTCATACTGTATTCTCATTTTCCAGGTGACTAAATTGAAACACAGAGGTTAGGTAATTTTCTTAAGGTCATCCACTTAGTAAATGATGGAGCTCAGATATACTTTTCCAGCATTCTAAGCCTAGAACCTATGCTTTTAAGACTACCCACCAGAAAATTTTCTCTCTCTCTCTTTTTTCCTTAGATTTTTTCTGTTGTTTTAAAACATTACAGTGGAATAGAACCTCTTTATGTGTTATGTTTAAGGAGCAGCTTGGTTCTGTTTCCTTCCCAGTTTGATCTTCAAGGTGCATGTTACAATGAAATAATGACTCTATCGGAGACACTATGAACATAAAGACCACTGGAGGTGAACTTTCATTCTTGCCACCTACAAGCTTGTCTGTACCTCTCCTGGCCTTACCCCTCTTATCTCAGAGGAGAAAGAGGTCCTACTCTTTGCAAGATCAATACTTTAGCGTATGTGTTGGAGCCTATCTCTTCCTGCCTTTGCTTTTTATCTTTTTTTTTCCTTCATCTAATTATTCAGTCTCTGCCACTGGCTTTGTTATGAAACATAACTCTGGTCTTTTCATTTTTAAGTATTTTCTCTTATTACAAGTTTTTGCTTTCTTAATTTTTTTAAAAGAAAGTACCCCAAAGCTTTTTAGAGTTCTGATGAGTGTGTCATTTTTCCTCCTAGGACCAGAATGAATTTTACTTGTTTCTCCCCTCTTTTTTGCATTCCAACCAAATCATACTCTTCGCTTTGATGTATGGTCCATCACACACTACATAGGCATTTGAATGGCAGTTTCAGAATGAAGTTTAGAGGTATTCATGGCGGTAGAAACAATAGATTTTTTTAAAAAATGGGTAATCAGTATTTCATTATAATTTTATAGATGGAAAACAAAAGTTTTGGTAGTGTAGGCTTCTGAAAGAAAACTGACAAACTCTTACATGCCGGGGTCATGCAGAAACCGTGATTTTAGGGGAATGAAGGGTGTTTGGGCACGTAGGGCTTCGCAGTCGAAAGTTGGAATTTCAGTCTGTCATCAAGCTACTTCTTCCTAGCCTCCAAGTAGATGACCTGGCATCCTGAAGAGCAGGCTGGAACGACTTTATCTTCCCTTCTCTGTCTTTAAACAATGAAGGGAATCCAGTTAGAGCAGTTAAGATCCTGGGTACCAAACCCACTTCTACCACATACTTGTTCTGGATTTTTGGACAAATTATTTATCTTCTTAGTGGAAAATAAAATAATAACACCTATTTCATTTATATGTGCACACACACATATATACATGTATATTGATGAAGCAGGTGTTATTTCATTTTCAGTTGAGATATTTATATCCTAGCAGAGTTAATAGAAACTCAGTAACTATAGTTTTTTCTCAAGAAAAGTTAGTTTTTTTTCTGTTCCAAGTCTAAGCCTTCCACAAATACGCTCTGTTCCATTTCAAGGCAACCTGTTGTGATTCTGTTTTCTCTCATATAACTGTTGGATTCACTCTCCTTTCCTTCTCCACCACATTTCTTTGAAAAATTCTCTGCATTTTCATTTTTACTCTTTCATGTTTCATTCTTTGCTCAGCAGACCACTCTCTATAGAACTCTTTGCAAAGGCCTTCAGTGGCCTCACTGCTGCAGTCCAGGGAGTGCCCCGTTTCTTTTACTCGGCGTTGAGTTTTTCTCTTTTATTACTTTTTGTTGTGTCCTTTTTTGTAAACCATCTCTAAACCTTTTTGTAAAGGTATGGAATGAACGTAAATTATAAATTAAAAATCCACCTTGTTTTTCATACTGAAATTTTGACATTCTTTGGTCCCCAGGCCATAACTTTTCTGTTTGCTGCCCAGATTTTCTGACCGCTGTTTCTAAACCTCTTTTTTTTTTCCTCCCTTGGTTCCTACTAAGCCTACATTTTTTCCCCTTAAGGCATGGTATTTAAAAAAAAAATTATGAAAAATTTGAATGATTCTTCAATTTACTAATCAAAATTACAGAATGATCAAATGTTTGTCACATTTGCTTCCTTTTCTCCTCCTTTTTTTCTTTGTTAGAATATTTTTAATCATATCTGAGACATCATGCCATTTCTCCCAATAAATGGATAAGCCTGCTCTTTTAGATATTGATATTCCAAAGACTGTCCCTGACCTTCTTTTCTCATTGTACATGCTCTTCATAGGAAATCTTATTCATTCTTGTGGCGTCACATACTATCTGTTGATGACTTTTAAATTCATATGGTCTATTTAGACCTCTGACGTGTACTATAGACCAATATTTATATTTTCCTAATAGACTTCTGCAGTCAGATATTCTGTACCCATACCTGTTGCTGTTGAGTCGATTCCAACTCATACAACCCTATAGCACGGAGTAGATCTGCCCCATATAGGGTTTCCCAGGAGCGGCTGGTGGATTTGAACTGCTGACCTTTTGGTTAACAGCTGATCTCTTAACCACTGCACCACCAGGGCTCCAGATATTCTATAATGACCCCAAATTTTAAATTTCTAAAATAATATCTCTTTCTCACTGTTTTTCCCTTCATTTTTAAACTTCTTTATATATCATTTCGGTACACGTCTGTCAGTTTGTCATACTGTGGTGGCTTGCGTGATGCTGTGATGGTGGAAGCTGTGTTACTGGTATTTCAAATACCAGCAGGGTCACCCATGGTGGACAGGTTTCAGCTGAGTTTCCAGACTATGAAAAGGCATTTGACTGTGTGGATCATAACAAATTATGGATAACATTGCAAAGAATGGAAATTCCAGAACACTAAATTGTGCTTGCGAGGAACCTGTACATAGACCTAGAGTCAGTTGTTTGAACAGAACAAGGGGATACTGTGTGGTTTAAAGGCAAGAAAGGTGTGCGTCAGGATTGTATCCTTTCACCATACGTACTCAGTCTGTATGCTGAGCAAATAACCTGAGAAGCTAGACTATATGAAGAACATGACATCAGGATTGGAGGAAGACTCATTAACAACGTGTGATATGCAGATGACACAGCCTTGCTTGCTGAAAGTGAAGAGGACTTGAAGCAGTTACTAATGAAGATCAAAGACTATGGCCTTCAGTATGGACACCTCAACATAAAGAAAACAAAAATGCTCACAACTGGATCAGTAAGCAACATCATGGTAAACGGAGAAAATATTGAAGTTGTCAAGGATTTCATTTTACTTGGATCCACAATCCATGGAAGCTGGAGTCAGGAAATCAAAAGATGCATTGCACTGGGTAAATCTGCTGCAAAAGACCTCTTTAAAGTGTTAAAAACAAAGATGTCACTTTAAGGACCAAGATGCACCTGACCCAAGCCATGGTGTTTTCAGTCGCCTTGTATGCATGTGAAAGCTGGACATTGAATAAGGAAGCCCGAAGAAGAATTGACACCTTTGAATTGTGGTATTGGCAAAGAATATTGAATATACCATGGACTGCCAAAAGAAGGAACAAATCTGTCTTGGAAGAAGTACTGCCAGAAATGTTCCTTAGAAGCAAGGATGGCAAGACTTCATCTCACATACTTTGGACATGTTATCAGGAGGGATCAGTCCCTGGAGAAAGACATCATGCTTGGTAAAGTAGAGGGTCAGCGAAAAAGAAGATGACCCTCAATGAGATGAACTGACACAGTGGCTGCAACAGTGGGCCGAAGTAAAGCAACAATTGTAAGGATGGTGCAGGACCGGGCAGTATTTTGTTCTGTTGTACATAGGGTCACTATGAGTCGGAACCTACTCAGTGGCACATAAAAATAACAGCGTATCATTTGAAATATCAAAGGCGTGTTTGCCTTCTCCATTTTCTTCACATCCCATATCAGTTAGTCTCCAAGTCCCATCAGTTCCTCCTTCTTAGTACCTTTCTTTCACACCTGTCTTTTCCATTCTGTTCTACCGTTATGGCTTAGGGTTTCAGGTCTCACCTAATAATTTATCAGCTGTTTGTCTTTGGTGTCTTCTCTCTCCAATGTAATCATTTTTCTTTCTGCTCAGAATCTCTCAGATCTATTGTGTTCATGGTAAAAACAAATTTCAAAAACTGATCTCATCCTCAAGGAGGGCAGGTTCCAAGTCATGTTTTCTTTTTAGCGCCACCATGCTTGTGCTTGATATCTGGTGTCTTAGTCATCTAGTGCTGCTGTAACAGAAATACCACAGAGGATGGCTTTAACAAAGAGAACTTTATTCTCTCACTGTCCAGTAGGCTAGAAGTCTAAATTCAGGGCGCCAGCTCCAGGGGAAGGCTTCGTCTCTCTGTCGGCTCTGGAGGAAGGTCCTTGTCATCAGTCTTCCCTTGGTCTAGGCACATCTCTGTGCAGCAACCTCAGGTCCAGAGGACATGCTCTTCCTCCAGCACTGCTTCCTTGGTGGTATGAGGTCCCATGTCGCTCTGCTTGCCTTGTTTCTTTTATATCTCAAAAGAGATTGGCTTAAGACACTATCTAATCTTGTACATCTCATCAATATAACTACCACTGATCCATCTCATTACATCATAGTGGTAGAATTTACAACACACAGGGAAATGACATCAGATGACAAAATGGTAGTCAGTCATACAGTACTGGGCATCATGACGTAGCCAGGTTAATAGATATTTTGGGGGGACACAATTGAATCCATGACACCTGGCAAATTGTCTTAGAATAAATGAGAGAGTAGGTAGTGTAGAAGAATCTGCCTGCATCCTTGAAAATATTGGTGCTTTTCTTTTACTGTTTGACCTTGATGTTAATAAGTCTACTAACTAATGAAAATATTAAAATCTTTTGAAAGTAATTACTGTTCTTAAGAAACTTGGTTGTTTAATCCTCCAAATGGTGAAGTGGCTGGGCTCATTGGTAGGGCCTGGTAAAACTTACTTAGTGTGTTATTACTATTGTGTGTATGTCAGTTTTCTTGGCAGTATGATAGTAATTACAATTGTTATTGTCACCATCATTGTTAGATTAGTTTAGATTGCAAGAAAGTTGATCTTATGCAATGTTAGTACTTTGATTTGTGACAGTACTATCAGGACGCTACTTCTTATGTTGTTGTCATGTGCTGTTGACTCACAGCAGCCCTATATGACAGAGTAGAACTGCCCCATAGGGTTTCCTAGGCTGTAATCTTTACAGGAGCTGATCGCTAGGTCTTTTCTCCTGCAGATCAGTGGATTTGAACTGTTGACCTTTCAGTTGGCAGCCAAGCGCTTAAGCATTGTGCTACCAGGTCTCCTTTTTGTAGCACATAATTAAGTCTGACACAAATCTTGTTATTCAAAATATTTAATTTTTTTTTTTTTTTAGGACCAGTTTGGACAACATATAAAATCAGAGGTGCACTTGAATTTCTATGTTTATTATGGTCCTGATCGTATTAGAGACCCCGCTTTGCTTTCCAAACAGGATATTGTTTTGACCACATACAATATTTTAACTCATGACTATGGGGTAAGTATGCTTGTGCTCAGACATTTTCAATGGTTGGTTTTAAAAATATGCTACAGATCTAAAGTGTTCTAAAATTCAGACTTTATGCCTTCTTTTTTGCTCTTTCTAAATACGTAGGAATATATAGAAAATTAATAGGAAATATTTAACATTTTGCAAAAATAATTATACTTAAGATATTTAGAAATATTTTTGATTTAGAACACTTTAAGTCAATTTTAAATTCTCATAACTAAGTATATTTAGCAATTTGTTAGTGATTTCTATTTTCTTTTTCACTGTTCTGAGAAATTGTTTGCTATGACAGTGATTTGATGAAAGAATACAAGCTTTTATTTAGCTGTAATTCATAAGTTTCCCAGTTTTTCTAGGAGTCTTAATTGTTGGTCACCTAAAATTCCAGTTAAAATTTTTTCAAAATACCTTACTGCCAAAATTGCAGCCTTCTGGTAAGGACATACCTTTTATATAAAAGAAAGTGATGTTATTATATTGAAATAATTCCTACAACTGACAGTTTTTATATCCTCATTATGTGTTAATCTGAGGCAGTTCAGCAGAGGACCAGACTGCCTAGATTCGAATGCTAGCTCTGCCACTTTGTAGCTGTGGTGTTTTGGGTGACTTATTTAACGCCGTCGTGCATTGAGTAGCCCAGATTTCCTCATCTTTAAAACTGGGATAATAGTACTCTCTTCATAAGTTTGTTGTGAGCATTCAGTGATTTATGTATATATTTGCACATACACATATGTACACACACATATATATGTATCATGCATGGCACACGGAAAGTGCTATCATAGTGTTTGTTGATATTAAAGTATAATAACTATTATTTAGCAAATTGCGTTAAGTACCATTTTACTTTTCTATGTTTTTAATTAGTTCATATGAAACATTTATTTCAGACCAAAGGGGATAGTCCATTACATAGCATAAGATGGCTGAGAGTGATTCTGGATGAAGGACATGCCATACGAAATCCAAATGCTCAGCAGACAAAAGCTGTACTTGATTTAGAAGCAGAAAGAAGATGGGTATTGACAGGTAATCAGTAGCATAATTTTTTTTTTAAAGTTAATGCTCTAAAATGTATTATTAAGTAAATGTATTTTAAGTAAGTTAGTGAGACAATTTTGTAAGCTTCAAGTGAACATAATGTCTGTCCCAAAATTAATCATAGAAATAGTTTAATAAAAGGTTTTCACTTGTTCTTCATAATTGTCCATGATATAGCAAATTTGAATTATAGTTAATTTACGTAACAATTATGAGAATTATAGTTGAACCTTGGAGATGCAGTCGACACTCATAATTCTCTATTCTGAATTTTGGTTTGCCTGCTACCCATCTTGGAGCCCATTTGTGGCTCATGACACCTTTACTAGAAGGTTTGGGAAGAGAATATAAACTCAAACTCATTTTTTTCTTCTTGCTAGTGTTGCTGAATTAAAAACCAAATAAGCAAATGGACTTGATAAGGAGAGGTTGAATTTACTGGATAAAATTAGGAATTTAAGTCTGTCAGTCTTTATTAGTATTGCCAGTTGAGATCTGAAAATTAGAGCAAATCTGTATTTTGCGGTTGTGTGTATGTTTAACATGAGATTATAGTCACAGCTTGCTGATTACCTGCTGTGCCTTTAACATGGTGCTGGTTTTCAGCTGGTATTGCCTCTGACCGGGCTAGATGGGTATTCTGCTTAGAGACTGTATGTATAGTTACTCTGTTTGTAGAGTTATAACAATTCCCTGTTATTTTTAGGTACTCCAATCCAGAATTCCTTAAAGGACTTGTGGTCTCTTCTTTCCTTTTTAAAACTTAAACCATTTCTGGACAGAGAATGGTGGCTGAGAACAATACAGCGTCCTGTTACGCTGGGGGATGAAGGGGGACTCAGGTGAGTCGTCTCATGGCAGCTGAGGAATGTTGGCTACAAGTCACCGTTAGCAGCTTGAACTGACAGCCCCTGTCCTGACTGTTTTGAGTATTGGCTTTCATCTCAGAACATGTCCACAGCTCAGGGCCTTTAACTCTGATAACCTGTTGATTTTTGTTTGGGGAGACAAAGATTTCAATCTATCACTAAAACGCCTTGATTTTAGCTAAACTGAAAGGAAAGACACAGGTTTGTGTTTTATGTGTATGGCTGTTATCCCCCAAACCAGTAGTAATAGATTCAGCAGTGATAGAAAAAAAACATTAGATACTCTGAAGATCTAAGATGCACTCAATTTGCATGACTTCTCTTGTATAGCTCTATATAGTGGTGATTGAATGATGTGATGTACCATGACTTCAACAACCGTTTTGTAAGAGAGTAAGTTTTATATGGTGGTTTCTAGTGATGACAGATTAAAAAGTTGAGAACATAAATTAAAACTCAACTTGATGATCGCCATATTGTAAGGTACTCAGCTAATGTGGTTCAAGTTTTTTTTTTTCTCCCTAGAGCAGTGGTTTTCTAACTGTAAGTCTTGAATCCATTAGTGGGTTGTAAAATCATTCTAAGGGCCATGGCCAGAATTAAAAAAGAAAATGAAATAGAAAAGATTTTTTAAACTTAGGTGTATCACACAGAGTAAAAATACTATTTTGTGAAACGTTTTTGTTGTATGTGTGGGTTTGTATGTCTGCTGGATGGAGTAAGAAGGTTCAAAAGCTACTATCCTATTTGGCAATACTGTCCCCTTAATTTTTCACTAATTTAAACTCAGTTAAGAAATTATATTTATACTTCAGTGCTAGGAAAAACCGCCTCTTAAAGAATTGATGCCTCCTTTTTTTCTGATGAGAAGAAAGTAGAGGTTGTAGAACCTGGAAGGTATTTCTCCCTCTTTTGAATTCCTACATCACATTTTTATTTTTTTAGCATTCATTACTTTATAAAAGCTACTTATTTTATGTATCTTGATTTTCACATTATCAATAACTGCTTGAAGATAGGGTCTTACTGATATTTGTGTTTGTGTTCTTGAACTTATAGTAGGTGCAGTGCCTTGCACTTCATATGTGCTTAGTAAGAATTTGAATGTTGAATGTTAGGTGACATAGTTAGCAAGAAAATTGAGAAGTAAAAAGATGAGATGAGAGGTTAGAACAAAACCACAGAGAAGAGCTTAATAAAAATAAGACTAGAAAGAGATATAAGAAGATTAAAGTGACAAGTACTGAGTTGAGGGGAAATTCAGTGCTTTTTTTTTTATTGTACTTTAGGTGAAGGTTTACAGAACAAATATTTTCTCATTAAACAGTCAGTACACATATTGTTTTATGACATTGGTTAACAACCCCTCAGTGCATTTTTTTGGTAATTTTCTATTTGTAGAATATGTGTGTAATTAACAGGTGGGATAAAAACCCAAATCAGGGATTTTAAGTAATCTTTACTAAGGTTATGAAATAGTAACAAAAATATTCTTTTTTGTTCATTATAGATTAACTTGTATAGAAATAAAAAGTTACATAATTATGTTTTATTTTGACTAGGCGTTTACAGTCCCTAATTAAGAATATTACACTTAGAAGAACAAAGACAAGCAAAGTTAAAGGGAAACCAGTTTTGGAGTTACCGGAACGTAAAGTATTTATTCAGCATATTACGCTTTCAGATGAGGAGAGAAAGATTTATCAGTCTGTGAAAAATGAAGGTAGAGCTACGATTGGAAGGTATGGAGAAAGAATGTTATATAAGAAGATATGTACATATATTTATGTGTATATTTTTCTGTTTGTCTCCAGGTTAACTGAATAACATTTTTTAGGCATGTTAGGAGTAAAGTCTGAAGTATACTTAAGATAATTTGTGATTTAAACTTTTTACAACTTAATATTTGAAGTGAATGAAATAATCTAATTTACCAGGTAATTCCTTAGTAAAAAATGAAAAATTTACATAAAATGACAAGTTCAAAATTGATAGAAGACATTGTTTGCTTCCATTCCTGATGCTGCTTCACTTTTCTTTAGTTTCATAATTTGTGAAATGACTCTCTTTAATTAGTACCTCTAAAATTGTGTTGTAGTCTATTTTGAAAGATGTATAGAGACTTGCAGGTCATATTAGTAGAGAGGGATCACTGTGGTATTGAATTTTTATTATTGCACAGCTATTTCAAAATAATTGGATAAAATTGAAGAAAAATACATTGTGCGGCAAGATTCCTGACCTTAAAGAAATTACAGTATGCTAGAATTAAAATACATAGTTGAGACAAAGCGGAATGTGGCAAATACTATATGAGAGATACAGACTCAAGATTTGGATGGTCAGAAGAAAATGAAATTGTCTGTAACTAAAAGATAACAGGGAAAGCTTAATGGAAAAAATGACTTGTACTAGGTCTCAGGAGTAGTTAAATTTTGATAGATAATGATGGGTGATATATGAGGTACAAGACAGTATAATGGATTTTTCTTGTACCATTTCAAGAAGGGACACTTGCATAATGATAATAAAAACAAATATTACACTAAATTTATAGTTTATAGAGTATCCACATTATTTCATTTCTGCCTCAGTTGTCCAGTGAGATAGGTTAGGATGATATTGTTTATCTTCATTTTCTAAATTAGGAAACAGGTGGCAGAATTCGGACTAGAATCTAGATTTTTTGACTCAGGAGGAGAGTTCACAAAGTATGGGTTAGGTTTGGGGAACAGTGGCTGGACCAGTGTGGCTGCAGTACAGGTACATGATGAGTGGGAGATAAGAGTATAGAAAGGTAGATTTTAACCAAATTGTGAGGGGTCTGGAATGTTAGGCTGTAGAATTTTTTTCTTATTGAAGAGTTTTGAAGGATTTTGAGCCATGGAATGTTTTCATCTATGTTGAGTTTTAGAAACATAAAGCTGACAGCCATGTCAGGGAGAATTATTACCTCCTTGAGTCGGTAATAAAATCCTACACCAGCATGGTTGCAGCAGGATGCAAAAGAGGAAATCGTCTACCCAGTGTGATGATTGAATGAAAGGAAGAAAGGTATGGACCCAGGGTTTCAGGATTGGGGTGTATGGGGGAATGAAAGTGGGTTTAGGTGGCAGCAGATGAACATTTGTTTTAGGCCAAGTTGACCTTGTGCCAACAGACAGAAATGTAAGACTAGAGGTGGAGAGAAAATTTGCAGCGTCATATATGCCAGATAGGAGTTCTCATATAGAGATGATAATTGAAGTCGTGGAAGTAGATAAAAAATATCGAGGAAGAGTAACAGAGAGAGAGAATAAACCTATTAAGGACCGAAACTTTGGAAAATGTCCACATTTAAGAAATCAGAAGATACAGAGAAGCCAATGCATGAGGTTCTTCTATTAAAGGGACAAGTGTGAAGAAAGTAGAGAAGACTGTTACAGCATCCCAAGAAAGCATGTTTAGAGGGAATAATAAGTAGTGTCACGTAGTGCAGAGACTAGAAAGGACTATTTACATCAGAGTTACTGGTGTAAACTCTGTTTAAGTGGAATGATGAGGTTTATATAAGGCCAAATTGTAGGGGTAAGTGGATTGTAAAAAAAAGTAGAAGCTGTAGGAGTAGATCATTTTTTCCGTAAGTTTGGCTGTAAAAGGAAGAAGAAAGTGAGATTAGTAGGATGGATAGACGGTTACTGGATCAAGTTTTTGAAAGTTTTATTTGAGTAGCTGCCTTCAGAAGAAGAGAATGTGGAGGAGACTACAGAAGCAAAAGAGAATAAAGGAAATCGGTTGAGGAAAATGATATCTCATGTGGTAGGAAATATCAACAATGCCATCAGTGAAATGTGAGGCAAGGGTGTCTGCAAAGTAAGGTGTTGTGGGTTTGAGAAATGTAGATTGGATTTGAAACTGTCATAAAAAGGTAAGGTTTTTAGAGTGGCAGAGATGTTCTGCATAGGATTGGATAAAATTTGTAGAAAAGTTAACCATATGACTTTCTAACAGCATGTCAAGATCTGAGAATAGGGGCTGATGAAGTGGTTGGAAAGGATTGGGGATTGCTGGAAGGTGAGGAATTCAACCCAGCAAGAGCATGTTCGATGTGAATGGCCATAGGGATGGGAATGAATAGGCGGCAAGTAAAAGACCAAACAAACAAACCCATTGCCATTGAGTAAGTTCTGACTCATAGCAACCCTGTAGGACAGAGTAGAACTGCCCCTTAGGGTTTCCAAGTAGCGGCTGGTAGATTGGAACTGCCAGCCTTTTGGTTAGCAGCCGAGCTCTTAGCCACTGTGCCACCAGGGCTCTTAAGTAAAGGACGGGCCTGAGAAAATAGGGGAATCTTCAGAACATAAGAGCTTGAGTGATGTGCTAAGCAGATTTGGTATGAATAAGGGAGATAGGGAAAGATGGTTCTAAGCAGGAGATTTGAGAGCAGAATCTTGCAATTGATGTTTGAAATTTCCCCCACATTCATTCATTCAACCAGACTTGATTAAGGGTGCTAACCGTGCTAGGCACATTGAGATAAAGCAGAATAAAACAGACAAAATTGCCCTCAATGAATTCATATTTTAAGGAGGGTGGGCATATGATTAAAAAAAAAAAGTTATTGGAAAGAAGTAAAGCAGAGAAAGGTTATAGGGAGTGCTGAAGCTGTTTTAATAGGGTATTTAGGGAAGACATCAGTGTCTTTCAATTGGTATATTTAGACCATTCAAGTGGTTATTAATCTGGTTGAATTAATATCTATCGTAACTACCATATTTGTACGTAACGAGCCCTGGTGGTGCAATGGTTAAGCGCTTGACTGCTAACCAAAAGGTTGTGGTTTGCTCCCATCCAAGAGCTCCACGGAAGAAAGACCTGGCGATCTGTTACCATAAAGATTAAACCTGTTGCTGTCTAGTCAGTTTTGACTCATAGCAACCCTGCGGGACAGAGTAGAACTTCCCCGTAGGGCTTCTAAGGCTGTAATCTTTACGGAAGCAGACTACCACATCTTCCTCCTGCAGGGCGGCTGGTGAGTTCAAACTGCTGCCCTTTCGTTTAGCAACGAGTGCTTGACGACTGCGCCACCAACCCTATGAGGCAGTTCTGCTCTGTTACGTGGGGTTGCTGTGAGTCAAAAATCGACTTGATGGCACCTAACAGCAACAGCAGTACAGATTTCCCTCGTCATCTGAAAGTAGAGTGTTCTTGTGAAACCTTTCGTAAACCGAAATGGCATAAAGCGAAGAAGCACTTACCATTGATTTATGTGGGAAAAATTTTTGAAATTTCCCGGACCCCAAAAATAACCTACCAAGTCATACCAAATACCACATAAAACACTTTCTTATAAGCTCACTCAGGCTTTTCTTATACCTTAGGACACATTTTGCTAACAGATGCATAAAATAAATCAAGTTAAAAGCACAGATGCTTGCACAGTTCAAAGCTATGGCAGCTTGATGCTGAGTGTAGTTCCCGGGGAAGAAGCTTGGCGACGCCACTCTCGCTGCTGCGCGCTGCCTCTTTAAGGGCTCACTACAAAACAAATGTTGAATGCTGTTTCTGTTTTTTGCCTTTTTTGGTAAAAGTGAAAATCCTTTTTGGGTTTCTTTCCATTAGTGAAAACAGGTGCTAATGTAGGTGTTTTGTAAAAGGAAGGTGGCTTAAGGCGAACTTGGAATACTGGTATTTGTAACTGTCTACTGTTGTTGCCCTTGTTCTTGGTTCCTTTTTTGTCTTTCAGTCTTTTTTCTTCTCTGCTTTTAATGGAGGATTTTGTATGATTCCAGTTTCTCTCCCTTCAGCCTATCAATTATATTTCTTTTAAAAATTTTTTAGTAGTTACCCTAAGGTTTGCCATGTACATTTATAATTAATTTCAGTCCACTTTCAAATAATACTATATTGCTTCGTGAGTGGAATAGATACCTCATAACAGAGTATTCCCAGTTCGTCCTTCTCATCCCTTATAACACTGGCTGTCATACTTTTCACTTATCCATAAGCTATAATCATCCAATATATTGTTGGTATTATTATTTTAAATAAGTTATCTGATCAGTTAAGAATAAGAAAAATAAGACTTTAACTTCGTTTATTCCTTCTTGAACACTTTTGCTTTCTTGATGTAGATCTGAGTTTCTGACCTGTGTATTTTTCTTCTCTCTGAAGAACTTCTTTTAACATTTCTTGCAAGGCAGGTCTAGTGGTGACAGATTCCCTCAATTTTTGTTTGTCTGATAAAGTCTTTATTTTTCCTTCAGTATCTTCTTATCCAACTTTTACTGTAATTGGCAGCCATTCCTCATTTATTTTGCTGTATTATTATAAATATCTCCTGGTTTCATCTTTTAAAAAAAATGTTTTTATTGTACTTCAGATGAAAGTTTACAGAACAAATAGTTTCTCATTAAATAGTACACATATTGTTTTATGACACTGGTTACCAACCCCACGACATGTCAACACTCTCCCTTCTCGACCTCAGGTTCCCTATTACCAGCTTTCCTGTCCCCTCCTGCCTCCTTCTCCTGGTTTTATTAAAGACAGAGTTTGCTTTTCTGTTTTTCATTCTTATTTTGGAGTGATTTTCAGAGAAGAGGACAATGCCATTGTTACTTCATTGTTTTAGAATAGGAAATGTTAATTGTTTAGAGGTTTTTATAATATTTGGCATTTTTACCTCTAGGTATTTTAATGAAGGAACTGTCCTGGCACACTATGCAGATGTCCTGGGTCTTTTGCTTAGATTACGGCAGATTTGTTGTCATACTCACCTACTTACCAGTGCAGTTTCTTCCAGTGGTCCCACAGGTAACTAAGTGTGGTTGGTTTATACTGTACGCTCTCCTTGCTTATTGACATGGTTAGGTTCCAAAGACCAGATCGTTGTGTGAAGTCGGTGTTATGTGAAAATGGAGGGTGACCACATCAGATCACAAAAGGGAAGGATGACTGCAACATTACATAATTGCCAACTTACATCATTACATAACTGCCAAATTATATCATTACATGACTACCAAACCACCGCGAGTTATGGCTGAGCCAAGATGACACATAACCTTAACCAGCAAAGCCGGTGTTATTCTCGCCTCGCACCTTGGCGTTCATTACTGCCAGACTGTATCCTTAGCGTGCAAAATAGTCAGATGGTAGATTTTATACCATTGTCATAAATGTGAAATGTCGGAAGACAAGATAGTCAATATGTGAGGAGAAGGTGTGTTACATTTGTTAGAAATAGTTAAATTAGAATGAGAAATGTTTAGTATGGCCTAGTATTTAGTTGTTTTTTTTTTTTTTTTTTGGTGCAGTGGACATTAAGATAGGACTCAACTGGGAATATACCCAAGAACTTCATTGATTCTCTTACCAATGAAATGGAATCATAATGTGGTCTTTCTAGGATTTCCAGTGATGGATACTCTTGGATGAAAGATACAAATTCCATCTGCCTTTTATTTTGTGCTAGTGCAGATCATGTTATAATGATGCTTCTGTTTGAGTGTATTCTGGGGGTTGCCTATGATTTTTGCTTCTTAATTTTTCTTAAAATTCCAAATTTAAACCATGATTTTTCCTGTGATAAAGACTAAAGACTATTCTGGCAAGCAAGACTTTTCCCTCTATAAGGTAGAGTAACTTGTCTGGTCATATTAAAAATCTTGCTCTGAAATTAATTTTTCAGTCTTTGTCTCTAGGAAATGACACCCCTGAAGAACTGCGAAAGACATTAATAAGAAAGATGAAGTTAATTCTGAGCTCAGGTTCAGATGAAGAATGTGCAGTTTGCTTGGATTCTTTAACAGTTCCTGTGATAACACATTGTGCACATGTATTTTGTAAACCTTGTATTTGCCAAGTCATTCAGAATGAGCAGGTTAGTTTTTTGTTCCCTATAGGCTGTGTTTGATGGAATGGTGGACCTGTCTGAATACAATGAAAACTCAAGTTAGGAGACTATAAGGAGTTCTGCACTTGAACTTAATAAAGCACTTTTTGTAGTTAATTATTCCACTGTTCTTTAGGTGGTATATTTCTTATAAGAAGCCCTAATTTTAACATATAGAGACATTATTTTTTGGTAGTACCTTTTCACAGTCAATATACTGGTTCCACTGACAGTTTAGATCACTGCTGTCTGATAAATAGATCCATAATGTGAGATGCAAGGTAATTTTAAATTTTCTAGCAGCCATGTTTAAAGAAAGTAAAAAGAAACAGATGAAATTAATTTTAATAATACATTTTACTTAATTCAGTATATATATTATTATTTAACATGTAATCAGTATCCACACTGATGCAATACTTGTATGCTTTTTTTTCTTTTTTAAATGAGTCTTCAAAACCTGGTGTATGTTGTAAACTTGCAGTATGTCTCAATTTGCCGCAGTCTCATTTCAAGGGCTTAGTGGCCACATGTTGCCGTTGGTTATTTTATTGGATAGTGTAGATCTAGATTCTTTTGTATGGTAGAATTTTTGTGAAATGGAATAATTTTCTAAGCAGCCCTTTAGCTAGGGTTCAATTTTTTGTTGAAACCTTTTTAGAACCCTTTGGTAACCCAGTTTTCTGCTTTGAATTTTTTATTGATACAATGCTTTTTCATTAGTGGAATGCTTGGTGTGTCATTGAGCTTGCTTGAATTTTTGGTAGGTAGTATGGATTTTTTCTATCTTCATCCCACAGCTCCTGCCCTTAGAGTCAGTAGGGACATACGTGTCCCACATAAACGCAGTTCCCAAAGTTCATGGGACATATGTGTCCCACTTAAAGATTTTCAAAAACTCAGACATACACACCTCATACAGTACCCTGTAATTTGCAGCACACACCCATTTTTTTCGTTTCAAACTGTTATACAGGCCCTCGCCTTGCAACAGCACGCACTGTAAGTGGGAAGGCAGCTTCCTAAGAAACACTTGAGGCATAAAATGTAGGTGGGAGCTGACTGTCCCACGGGCCACCAAAGGGTTAGACATATACATACATATTTTTAAAAACCTGCCCAACTCATCGTTGTATACTTCAGTGAATTATCCTGAAATGAACACATCCGGGTAACCACTACCCAGGTCTCTATGTCCTCTCCTAATCATCTATCCTCTCCTTTCTCCCCCAGGGTAAGCCCGCTGTGTACTGACGTCTAACATAGTTTTAGTTTCAGAATCTTTGTTATAATGGTGTTTGGTATCTAGTTATTTAAGATACTATTTTTATTATTTTTTTGGTGAAAATACACAGCAAATCATATACCTAAGATAATTTTCATAGGTTTTGATAGAAATGGATATAATAGATGTTGCTTTGAGTGGACCCGATAGAATTTAACACATCTTGACTAGCTTTATAAGACATTAAGAAAGAAATAATAGTTTTAAATAGTGTGATATATCGTAGTGAGGTTCAAGAAGCTGTTATTCATGGTTTTTTTTTTTTGACTTGCCTACAGATGGTATATTTATGGTTTCAAGCTCTTGCTCATCAGGATCGCACACTTTTGCTCCCTCCTTTACCAATCCCACTTAGTACATTAGAATAGTATATTTTGATTTTCAACATATACAGATTTATCTCAAATGTATTAGTGTAATAAAAGGTTTAATAAAATGCTAGCTATTAGGGATATAGAAGTTACCATATTTCTAAAAAAATTTAGGCAAGTTCACATTTCTGTTCTGTGATAAATATCCCACATACTTTGTTCTTTCTTGTACAGCCTAATGCTAAATGCCCTTTATGCAGAAATAATATAGATGGAAACAATTTATTAGAATGTCCTCCAGAAGAATTAGCATCCAACACTGAGAAAAACACTAATATGGAATGGACGTCCAGTTCAAAGGTAAGATATGTTTGTGTGCAAATATTTGATCGTTTTGAGTTTATTTAAGGAAATGCAAACCTTGTATAAAAATAGCTTTTTATTTTTATCCTGTCATTTGATTGTTATGCTATGTTGGTAGTTACTAGCTTTTTGTTTATTTCTAGTGGTGAATGTGGGAGGAGAGAGAAAGAGTTCAGATTATTATAATATTCTTTCAGTCTTAATTATATTTTTAATTAGAGTCTTTTAATGTATTTTAGGGAAGTGTGTCGGGACCTTTTTCTTCATAATAAACGAACACGTGCAAAAAATTTTGAATGTATTTTGCCAATTCAAAATGGAATAATGGGTTCTTTAATTTTTTTTCAGATTAATGCTTTAATGCATGCACTGATTGACTTAAGAACGAAGAATCCCAACATAAAAAGTTTAGTTGTTTCTCAGTTTACAACGTTCCTCTCTTTAATAGAAACACCACTTAAGTAAGTTTAAAAGTGTTTCTCACTTTGAAAGGATTTTATATAAGTATTTTGATTTTGATAGCAAAAATAGAATTATTTAATGTTTTACTAGCTTTTATTCATTTCATGTATCTAAAATAATATTCAAAATCACAATAAAGAATATTTTCTGGTAGTATAGGATTTTAAAGATTAAGTTCTGAATTTTCTTGCATACTAGTAGGTGCTTGGTAAACATTTGTTAAATGAGTGAAAAAATTGATCGAATGAAGACATTTGTAATTAATTAATTTTTTTTTATAGTGTAGTAAGTGCAACTTGTCTCTCTCTTTCCCCCAATTAGAGCCTCTGGATTTGTGTTTACTCGTTTGGATGGTTCTATGGCCCAAAAGAAAAGAGTTGAATCAATTCAGTGTTTTCAAAATACAGCAGCAGGATCTCCAACTATAATGCTTCTGTCTTTAAAAGCAGGTGGAGTTGGTTTGAATCTTTCTGCCGCTTCTCGAGTGTTTTTAATGGATCCAGTAAGTAGTTTTGTAGACTTCTAGCTGTGTTACTACTACCAGTTGCTGATGAGTCAGCTGGGACCCATGGCAACCCCATGCGTGTGAGAGGAGTAGAACTGTCCTCCAAAGGGTTTTCAAGTGCTAATTTTTTGTGGAGCTAGATCCCTAGGCCTTTCTTCCAAGGTGCCTCTAGGTGGACTCACACCTCCAGCAACCTTTCAGTTAGCAGTGGAGAGCGAAGCACAGTAACTGTTTGTATCTCTACTCCTTCAAAAAAATAAACTATTTGATATAAACCTTCATAGTTGTAAGTGATCGATTATGGAAAGTCTTAGACAAACTGGAAATACATAATAATAAATGAGTAAATATGTATTGAGGGCTTTCTCTTAAGTGCTTTACATATGTCAGCTGAAATTCTCACAACATTCTTTTGAAGTAGATGCTATTATCTCTGTTTTACCGATGAGGAAACTGAAGCACAGAGAAGTTAAGTAACTTACCTAACATCACACAGCTAGTAACACACTAAACTAGTATCAGAGTTCATGTTCTTAACTGTTAATATGTTATTATAGTTCTCTTCGTGTATAGAGTGTCTATTAATTTAACCAGTTTATATGCTTTTCTACTTCTCTTCAGTATGTAGAATAAACTGTAATGCTTTAGGGAAGTGGTTCATTCAGCCAACAAATAAGGAGATCCTGCACTGTGTCGGGCACTGGGAATCTGGCTGTAAATGAGATGGACAGAGTAGCTATTACATGGTATTAGTGGTCTTGAGTTTTTTTAAACTTAAATGTTTTCATGTTTTATTTTTATTTTTTATTGTACTTTAAGTGAAAGTTTGCAATTCAAGTTAGTTTCTCATACAAAAATTTATACACACATTGTTATGTGATCCAAGTTGTTCTCCCTATACTGTGACAGCACACTCCTCCTTTCCACCCTGGATTTCCCATGTCCATTCAGCCAGCTTCTATCCCTTTCTGCCTTCTCATCTCGCCTCCAGACAGGAGCTGCCCGTTTAGTCTCATGTATCTACTTGAGCTAAGAAGCACACTCTTCAAGAGTATCATTTTATGTCCCATAGTCTGGTCTAATCTTTGTCTGAAGAGTTGGTTTCAGGAATGGTTTTAGTTTTGGGCTAACAGTCTGGGGGCCTTGTCTTCCGGAGTCCTTCCAGTCTCAGTCAGACCATTAAGTCTGATCTTTTTACTAGAATTTAAGTTCTGCACTGCACTTTTCTCCTGCTCCGTCAGGGACTCTCTGTTGTGTTCCCTGTCAGGGCAGTCATTGGTGGTAGCCGGGCACCATCTAGTTCTTCTGGTCTCAGGCTGATGAAGTATCTGGTTTATGTGGCCCTTTCTGTCTCTTGGGCTAATATTTTCCTTGTGTCTTTGGTGTTCTTCATTCTCCTTTGCTCAAGGTGGGTTGGGACCAATTGATGCATCTTAGATGGCCACTCACCAAAGTAGGATGCAAAACATTTTCTTAATGAACTTTGCTTTGCAAATTGACCTAGATGTCCTCTGAAACCATGGTCCCCAGACCCCTACCCCTGCTACTCTGTCCCTTGAAGTGTTTGGCTGTATTCAGGAAACTACTTAGCTTTTAGTTTAGTCCAATTGTGCTGACTTCCCCTGTAGTGTATGTTATCTTCCCTTCATCTAACATAATCTTTGTCTACTATCTAGTTAGTGAATACCTCTCTCCCTCCCTCCCCACCCTCGTAACCATCAAAGAATGTTTTCTTCTGTGTTTAAACCTTTTCTTGAGTTTTTATAATAGTGGTCTTATACAATATTTGTCCTTTTGCGACTGACTAAATTCACTCAGCAGAATGCCTTCCAGATTCCTCCATGTTATGTTTCACAGATTCATCGTTGTTCTTTATTGTTGCATAATATTCCATTGTGTGAATGAATATACCATAATTTGTTTATCCATTCATCCGTTGATGGGCACCTAGGTTATTTCCATCTTTTTGCTATCGTGAACAGTGTTGCAGTGAACATGGTATGCATATGTCTATTCGTGTGATGGCTCTTATTTCTCTAGGATATATTCCAGGGAGTAGGATTGCTGGATCGTAGGGTACTTCTGTTTGTAGCTTTTTAAGGAAGCGCCAAAGCAATTTCCAAAGAGGTTATACCATTTTACATTCCAACCACCAGTGTATAAGTGTTCAGTCTCTCCACAACCTCTCCAACATTTATTATTTTTTGTTTTTTGGATCAATGCTAGCCTTGTTGGGGTGAGATGGTATCTCATTGTAGTTTTGATTTGCGTTTCTCTAATGGCTGATGATCATGAGCATTTCCTCATGTGTCTGTTAGCCTCCTGGATGTATTCTTTGGTGAAGTGTCTGTTCATATCCTTTGCCCATTTTTTAATTGGGTTATTTGTCTTTTTGTTGTTGAGGTTTTGCAGTATCTTCTAGATTTTAGAGATTAGATGCTGATT